TGCGTCCATTTCTAAAGTAGGACTCTATGATAAACACTTTTTGTTCTTGAGAAAACACCATTTTAAACGCTTTTTAAAACGAAAATATTCAAATTGATAGCGGCGATATAGCGCTTTGACAGATGACGTTTAAGTTCATTTGCTATACGCTACGCCCTACGTCCAAATTTTCAGAATCAACTTGACCACGTTTTTATTTGAACGCTCGTTAGTTTCGCTGAGTGGGTGTTAAAAGCAAGAGGTTTAAGGAATATCATCTTTAGCGATAAGGCACATTTCCACTTACAAGGTTAGGTTAGGTTAGGGTACGTGAATAAGCAAAATTATCGCATCTGGGACATTGAATATCCAGAAAACCTCTTTATCCACAACCTGTGACTGTTTGGTGCAGATTCTGAAGTCACGGTGTCATAGGGTCGTAGTTTTTCTAAAACGAAGCCAGTGTTACTGATGTAGTCAATAGATTGCGATAGTGAAATATGCTAACTAATTTTTTTGATTAAAGGTGATTGAAGAACTGACATTGATCTTCAGCAGGATGAAGCTACATGCCATACAAACCGTGAAACGGAAACCTTATTGGGTGAATAACTGAACGTTAACTGGACGTATCATTTGTCGTCACAGATATTTCAATAGTTAGTCGCATAGATCATGTGACTTGACACTGAATTAATTTCTGTGGGGTTAACTGAAAGATAAGGTGTACGCGAATGCTCCAGAAACGATTGTAATGTTCAAACATAATATTTGAGCTGTTATTGGAGAAATAGGTCCGCATTTATGCGAAAAATTTCCTAAAAAAGTTTATAACTTGCAACAGAAGCAGAGACGGCCATTTGGAAGATACTGTCTATCTTTAACCGCATGGTGTACTTTGTGTTGGAATTAAAATATTATTATTAAAAACAAAAATTACTTGCTTTCTTATACATTGAAAATGAAACGTCTTAATGGAAGACCCATTACATACATTTATATCAAAATTTCAGATTCATTCATTTATCCAAGTTTTCCAAAATTTTAACCAATGTTTAAAATTTGAAAGATAATCAAAATACCACCATTCGATTTATATGCCTTTTTTTAATTTTTGTTACAGTTATGTCACAGTCGGACAATAATTTATACGAAAATTACCAAGAGAGCATATTCGGATGGTCTAAATTTCGGTTCTGCTCCACGTACAGTTTGCTGGGTCGTTGGCCGCGTTATTCATTGGAATGGATCGACATCCATTTTATCTGTTAGAGTTAGCCAGTTCGGTTTGGCCGTTATGCCTTTATTTTTCCCGATATCCCGTGAAAAAGTGTCTCTGTCACGGAAGGGTTGCTATTAAATCTTTTTCTTTCCGGTTTAGATTCAAATTCCGGCATATCGTCTTCTTGGTGGAAGAAATTATGTGAAATATGAACAAAGAATACAAATTTGTATTTAAAATGCCCACTATACTGGCATAAGTCATTATGGCAATTATTTTTAAATTAAACATATTAGGACTCTACTTTGGCATGAAGAATATTTAGTCCTGGAATTTTATTAGAAAGTGCATTATAAAAAAATATTTATTCTAAATCATTTTGCTTCACATTTAAAATAAATGCAATTTCAAAACAATATGTTATAAGAGTTATAAATAATCATGTTCCGTAATCTAAAAAGTGAATAAAAATGGCTTTAAGAATTCTGAGTGTATAATTCCTCAAATACAGGATCCGCCATTAGTGTGTGGACGGAGGAGAGCTCCTAAGCCTGAAGAGCCGATATAAAAATGAAGTTTAGTCCAGAGGCGTACATCTATAGGGAGCACATTTTAAAATTATTTTCATTTTTTTAATAATTTTTTACAGTGTTGACACAAACTTGCATTTTTGTAAATAGAACACCCTGTATATTTTTGCATATTTGGATAACCCCATCAAAATGCAGCAAAATAATATAGGGTTTATGGGCGTTTCGATGGGCCGTTTTCCTAGTAGAGGCTCATAAATCCGAAAACTGACTCCGATACAGTCAGTTGTAAACACTCAGTATGACGTAGTTTTAACGAATCTGCGACATAGACAATCATTGATAGACTTCCAGAAGTGTTGTCATTATTCTTTAATTATACAGAGAGATCGAGGTTTGCAAATATTTTTATTAGCTAATATGAAAAGCAGATAGAACTACCTTTCCAACAATACCATATGATGAGGGGTTACTTCTGACAGTTTTCATGTAAATGAACTTTTAAATAAAATTTTCTATTATTTTTAACTTTTCTGGCGCTCAATAAAATATCTGCTCGTTTACGATTTACAAATGTTCAAAATTGTATAAAATTATAATAACTAGTGGCACTAGGCACCTTCATTTGATTCGCAATATGGTGGTTTCCTCCTTTCCACCCTCCTTTCTACATAAAATAAAATAAGAAATCATTATTTATCTGGCAGATAATAGTGCCATCTTAGACTATGCTTTAATTGCTGATGGAAGTTCAACTAAAAACTCACAGCAATATTCTCATAGTATCTGTCCACCAAGTGGTAAAATGAGTTAAAGGAAATTATAATGAGTCCGTTTTAAGAAGCAGAACCTAGCTGGTTTACGTCATGAGAACACATTCTTAGTATCGAGTGCATGGTAAAGTGCGATGCCGAAATTGTCAAGTATAGTATTGGACACTGGTTCTTATCGCACGATAGTTAACAGAGTATGCAATCATTGAAAAATTGGACCGACAAGGTTTGTACTGGAAACATTATCGGTAATTGAAGAAGACGAACCAGAATTCCAGTTAAGAAGAAACATTTTTCAACATGACGTTTTTGTATTGTTGTCGTGTTAGGATTAATGGAGGACCATGGTTATCATGTAACTCTACAAAAGCGTGTGATTAAGACTGGACAGGAAGAAAGAACAATGTCAACGGGATTATCTCGCGATCAATATGAACAGTAAATGTAAGTGAAGATGTTCTGGAGAATGTAGATGATGACCAAGTGAACTGCTGTTGGCTCGAATTTTAACACAAAAAAAAAACAATATTCGACTTATATTCGACTTGTAAATTTGAAAATACAGGTACAGAAACAAAAACGAGGTGATATCATCGGAAAAAGCCAGTCTGTATCATGTATAAGTGAGAATATGCTCTATTAAAATTCAAAATCATCAAAGGTGAAATTCTTGACAGCTTCAAAAGGGGAAGTACCTTGATTAATTAAGAACTAAAATGTTTAAATTTCTTTTACAGAAATATAAGGATATATCTGAAGATGACATAGGAAGAACGAACTTAGTCCAGTAAAAAATCGATATCAAAAATTCCATTGGTAAAACAAGAGGGATTGCAAAACCTCCTTAAGGACACGGAATATCAAGCTGTAATCCAACCCTTAAATAACCCATGGAGTTCACCGATAATGTTAGTCACCAAGAAAGATGATCCTACTAGGTTTTGTGTTGATTACATAACAAAGGAAGACAGTTATTTTCTGCCCTAAAATCGATGACCTTGGCAGGTGCGAATGGTTCTCTACGTTGGCAAAAGTAGTTATTAGCAAGCATACGTTAATCCAAAAGACAAAGACGGCTTTCTCTACTGGAACAATGTTGTGGTATTTCAATGTTATGTGTTTTAACCTCTGCAATACTCCAACCGCTATTTAGAGACTCGTGAAGATCATATTACAAGGACTTACCAGGAAGACTTGCCTTGTATACCTCGATAACGTAACGACAACGATATTGGACAAGGGATTTGAGGAACACGTGAAAAATATCGAGGATGTTTTAAAAAAGATTAAAGGAGAATCTAAAATTGAATACCAACAAGTGCAGCCGTCTTCAAACAGAAGTCGTATATCTGGTACACGTTATATCGGCAAATTGTACCAAGACTGATCTAATAAAAACTGTACGAAACTATTCCAAAAGGCAAATATAAGTTAAGAAGCTTCCTAGTCCTACCCTCCCATTACAGGAGATTTGTTCGATGATTCACAGATCTTGCTAGACCATGACATCGACTGGCTGTAAACATGGAACGACATCAGAGCCAACATTAATGGGTTCCAGGCAGGATATCTAGTAAAGTTGTACAACTCACTATGAAAGAAAGGAAAATCTCCTAAATTCCATATATGATAATCAAGAGGAATAAAGACGTGATTTATAGGATCCAATGAGGATCCAGAGCAAAAATGAAAGTCATCATTCTCCTGGACCGTTTGGCCCAATACCAAGCACCTGGGACTCTGACTGCTTGACTAGAGGATCACCTTTAGAGGGGGGGCGAGGGGGTAAACGATAAAACGATCATGATAAAAACACTGGAACACTTATTTACAATAGTTTGTTTACTTTTAAACACAAATATAAAAATGTTCTTTTGTTATTTCATGGTTACTAGTTACGACAAAACTGAATAAATCATCAAATTGTCGTTTTTTGAGCTTTAATAAAATTTCACCCAAGTATATGTACACAACGTTGACCTCAAAATTTAATGCTTTATCTAATGATGCAAAAATTTAATATGGCGTCCATGAGGAAAGCAAGAGTTGGATATGAAAACATAAGCATCTAGTAGGCCTGGAATATGTTCCAATAGATAGAACATATCACCTTATATATGCATACCGATTTTGATTACTCTACTTAATAATAAAAAATATATATAAATAATTTCCCAACTCGAGTTTATACGATTTTTTTATTTTGGGCAGTTCTATCACCACATAAAGTTTAGTTTCTGCAGATCGAGATACCATTTTTAATGGATTAATAAATTTTCGTTACACTTTACCCTTCTCGAATCTGTAGTACGTAGCTGCTTTTAAGAAAAATTCTTACTACTCTCTTTTGTATTTAAAAATTAAACTTGCGATCTTTAATTAAATCATTCTGTAATTTTACTCAATAATTAATTAAGCCCTTCAGACAACTCTAGTCTGTTTCGCACTCTCTCTTTCTCGTTCTCCCCAGAGATTTACAACGCCAACTAAGATCACTAAATAAATTCTGATTACCTCTTATGGGCGATTGCTTGTCCAGTTGCAGCTTGAGATTGGATCCTCGCCGAGATAGCCGCACGGTGTGGAACTCGTTGTCGTTAACGTTCTGCCCGGCTAGCAGAATCTGGAAATTAAATCACCATAAATCGTGGGCGGCCGCAAAGTTTTCTTGTAAGGACGGGGGAAAATGTCGGTATTAGATCGGGTAGTAGCCTCTATTGAGTGATTCGGGGTTTCGAGTCAGATTGGAGTCAGTTTCAGAGAGGTTAAGATCACAGATAAAAAAAGTAGGGCTTGTTCCCAAAATGTGTTTTTTATACAGGGTGTTCTGAATGTAGTAAGGATTAAAATAATAGCAGTATATAATGAAACATTGCCAGTTACGGCTTTTCAAAATTTTTTTATTTTTCTCTATAAATAACTTATTTAAAACTTATTTAATTCAAGTTCGATTAGTCTCTCATTTGGCACACCCACTAAGTTTCATTAGGCGCTACTAGAGAGCACTTTACCTAGAACTCAAAATGTATTTTGTTCATAACTTTTTTTTTCTCTTGCTAGAGATCACAAGTCGATAAATATAACCGTTTAGCAGGAAATCGCTATTAAAGTTTTATTAAATAATAATATTAATCAAATTGCCATGCTTCAAATAAATGTCATTAGCAGTTTTGGTGTTACGAAGAGGCATGATGACTGTTCTATGACGTTCGGAAGTATTTATTATTTCCAAAAAATATCTTATTCCTGTAGAAAGTAAAACGTTTAGTAGAAAAATATTTTTTCTACAAACGTCAAAAAATGACAAGGTTTGCGCATTGACAACAATATGCGAAGTGACACTTTTTTTCGGATTCTTACGTTACCATGACACCGTGCGCGAAATACTTCGCGCACTAGGGTGCGAAGTATTTCGCACACTGCATGTAAATTAATAAGAGTTTTGTATTTCAATCTTTGAAAAAATGAAGCAAAACTCCAAATTATTATTTATTTTTAAATGAATAACAATTAAATACTTTTAAAATAATGATAGAATTTTACAATAACTTTAGTTATTATTTACAATATTAACATTAATCGTACAACCAGTACACGAACCAATATTTATTCCTAAACCAGATAATTCAGGTTCAGCTCGGGATATTGGGGTTTTGGGGGTTGAAACACTACTAATNTTGGCCGCATCTGCCAAATTAGGTGGGGTACTACTTAGTTCATCGTCACTAGCAATTTCCATTATTTTAAATAATATCTGGCACTTAAAAATTGAAGACGCGAGCACAAACCTCACTTTAAAATAATTATTATTGTTGTCAACAACAGACACTTTGTTTCCATAGTAACAGTGAAAATTTGATTAGGAAAGACATTTTAAGCCAGCTCAACACTATTTTCTATAATAAATTATTCATTTTACTTATTTATAATATTTTTAAGAGATAGATTTTGACGTTTGTAGAAAAAATATTGTTTGCATCTCGTGCGCGAACTACTTTGATGGTCTCGAATAATTTTTTAACTCGGCTTCGCCTCGTTAAAAAATTCAATTCTCGATCACCAAAGTAGCATTTCGCGAATTAGATACAAAAATAACTATTAAGTCTAAGTTCACGCAAAAATGGTCGTCGATGTCATGGCGTCTACATGACGTCACATCTATGTTTGTCAACAGGTAACATAAGGTGCTAATATTTTGTGTTGCAAGATTCATTAGTTAAATAAAAATAGAAATACCATAATAGTATACAATGCATTTTATTTACCCTCAAATTGTACTTTGGTATAACAATAGATACACATTATCTTCCCATAAAGAGACTAAAACATTAAGAAAATGTAATACATAGTTGTCATCAAATGTAACATTAATTATTTCTACTTTTGTATTTGTACTGTATGTAGTTCCAATCAGCTACACCGAAATAGCCCTTTTGAAGTCCTGTTAAATACATTTGTAGCTGCACATAAAACTTCTGGGTCGGTTTTTCTTTTTCCACATAATTTTTAAAAGTCTTCATATTCGTGGTACCTATACTTAATTTCAATAATACTGTCTTCACAGATTCCATCAGACGATCCTGCTATCATGGGATAGTTTTTGCAAAACATTAGACCACATTTTTGAAATGTTTTACCCAGTCTGGTACTTACAGTTTTCCTCACTTCATCCTCCAACATTCTATCGTGTTTCATGGCCGATGCGTCTGAGATTTTTCCTCTCATTATTAACGTCATCATTGGTTTTACACCGACTAAATTCAAACGCTCGTGAGGCCGTCACTCTGCCATATCTGAAATCGTGCCAAAAACAGCTTTGATGTTGGTCTCGCCTCTTCTTCAACTGTCATGTCATCTTCATCAGTCAATACGAGTTTTTTCGAAAATGTGTTGTAGGACTGTTCTTTGTATGTCAGCACCAATGTATGCATGAATAAACTTTTGATCACATAGTCCTTTTTGACATTTTATTAACTCGCATTAGTTAAGCTTTCTTTTCTTTTCTTCTTCTAGAAACTTTTCAAATACCTAACGTTTCCTGATTATGGTTTTGGTAACACAATACTAAGCAACTATAGTACATTATACTATAAGGGAGAGAAATGCGTTATTTTGGCAGAGGTGCAATTTGAAGCCCGAGGGCTACAATGCACCGAGGACAAAATAGCATCTCTCCCGAATGGTATATACTATTTTTTCCACGGTCTCATTAACTTAAAAACACATATTTTGTCATTATGAAGTAAGTAGCACCAGAATTATTGTATTCGGATTTGAGCATTTATTTAGTAGTCGTTGAGTTATTGTCATAACTACAAAATAAACAAACAAAAAGAATTGTCAAATTAAGGTGCTAGTTTGGTTTAGTTTAAAGTTTATTTAGTGCACAATGAATAATTGTGAGTCGGAAGAGATTGTGGAGGCTGCAAATATTGCAATAAGCAATTTGCTGCCTACGAAGTCAAGATCTTTATACGATATAGCCTACAATCGGTTCAAAAAGTGGTGCGCCGAGAAACATGTTCAAGTATACAGCGAGAATGTTTTGTTGGCATACTTCAGTGAAAATGCAAAGAATTACAAGTCTTCCACATTATGGGCGCAATATTCTATGGTTAAGTCATTCTTGATAATTTACGACAACATAGATATAAGCAAATTCCCCAAGCTGATCGCATTTTTGAAAAGAACCGGTGACGGATATCAATCGAAAAAATCGAAAATATTGACAAAGGGTGAAATCGACCGTTTTCTATCAAGTGCAGATGACAAAGAATTCTTAATGATTAAGGTAAGATTACTTTTGTTGTTAGGTATTTCAGTTATTAAGTACTTTGATTTTTTATAGGTTGGATTAATTCTGGGGATTGCCGGAGCTTGTCGAACTGATGAACTAGTCAATTTAACTGTAGATGATATTGAGGATGTAGGCTCTTCCTTGATTGTAAAAATTCCAAACACTAAGATAAAGATTCCACGAACCTTTGTGGTTACCGATGTGGGAAATATGCTTGAATTGTTTCGAAAATACCTGTCCCTTCGTCCTCTCCCCACGTCAAGCATAAGCGCCTTTTTTTGTACTACAAAGCAGGAAAATGTAGTTCGCAGCCAGTTGGCAAGAATACCATGGGAAAAATTCCGAGTGTAGTAGCTTCGTATTTAAAATTACCTGATGCTGCATGTTATACTGGTCACTGCTTACGAAGATCTTCAGCGACATTACTGGCAGATGCTGGTGTGGATATCACGACAATAAAGCGTCATGCTGGTTGGAAATCAACGACAGTCGCTGAGGGTTATGTCGAGAACTCCATTGTAAATAAGGCCAAAATTGCTAATCAGGTTTTAGTAGGTACCACTACTAGCGCAATCACAAAAACTGTAAATGTAAGCGAAAGTAACTTCTAATATTAATTTTGAAAATTGTACAAATGTAACATTTAATTTAAATGTCAATAAATAATTTCAATGTTATCTTTTTTTTTGCATAAAAAACGTTCTCCATAATGTAAATTCCCTTGGGAATAATCGACTACTTCTGTTTTAATTTTGATGTCATAGAAACTGATTTCTACTCCCGACCGGTGCAAAAATATATTTAAACGAAGATAAATACTGCGGATATTGTCGAAATACAATTGAAATAAAATGACATTTACATAGATGTGACGTAATTCGCTCTAATTAGTGTTCAACCTTTCATGGCGGTTTACTGTATTTTGTAGTTTTATTTTATCAAAAATATTATCAATCTCGCTCATAATATAAACATAAAAATAATTTTAATTTTTATAATTCATGAATCATATTTCATTAGATAAATACATAATTTTAGTTATTCTTGGTTACTGTCATCATGCCGCAACGAAAATTGCTTAAAGCAGGTATGAGATTAATTTTCACCATCATAATATTTTTTTTTTCGGATCTGTAATACCATTGCGGAAAAATAAGATAAGGATAATGAATTTATACATACCTATGTATATTATTCTTGGACGTAATATAAATTCTTAATTTTATACGAATAAGTTTGTCAGTTGACTGACTAAATACTAGATACTAATACTAAAAAGTATTGAAAAATTTAGAATAAAATTCTCGTCTTAAACTTTCTAAAAATGCATTTTTCTAACACCATGCAAATTTTATGCGTCGAGCTTAGCCGTAAGTTTTGGTTTAAATTCATAACCAATATTTATGGTCAAAGGAAAAGAAACCTCTTCAACTGGAGTCGATAGGATATAGTGGAGTTAGGGGGGGCTCCTGCCCCCTTATGCTGCATCGTAGTTCCGCTACTGAGTGTAGTGTAATTTTAGTGTTTTTTGTATGGCGTTTTTTTTATATTTTTATATGACATTATATGGCATAAGAATGCGTTGCTATTTGGAAACTGGAAGTGTTAGATAAAATTTAGAATATCTGTCACAAACAGAGCACGTATGTGAACTAAACTAGTCTAGTAAGTTCGCGTCCCTGGTTTGATCTCGTTTCAGTCCGTTTGACAAGGTTTCACTGAAGCTATTATAAGTGTTTTTTTCAGGAATTGATAATAATGACAAATTTTATTTATTTCTCTATTGTCTAAAAATTGTTAGACCAATTCATTACCTACTCTTTTTTCGGATCAGTTCCGAGTATGTTTTCATAAATGATTAATGCCTCAAACATTTCTCAAATTAGTATCTAGGTATTTTTCTGAACAGTCTGGCTTTTATAAAAGTAAAATCTGAACTGAACACATTATTTTTCTAGACCGTAACTAAAGAAACAGTGTTACATGAAATATACTTTACAAATTCAACGATAAATTTTGTTATTAAAATTTACTACCAAACTAATCCTGAATACCTCTTTGCATAAAATTAAAGACTACATAGCCTGTAATACAACAATAAGAAAAGCAGCATCGTAAACGATACAAACTTGACCCATATTGTTTCCTGAATAAAAAAATTTGCATATAAATTGAAATTCACAGAATCCGATTGTCCCGTTACCTTGTCCTTCTCCTTGTCCTCCTTTTTCTTTTCTCGGACGCTCAGTCTAAGCGCCAGACGGATCCTGCCGGCGGCCACGGCTAGCTCGATCCTATCCCCAGTCTCCGCTGTGCTGGTGATTAGGAGAAGACCCAGTGGTTTGCTGGTCCTAAACCGCAGCACGATGTCCTCGGTTTGAGTGAACATCTCCGAGTCCATGGTCACCTGGAATAAAAATTATTACTTGTTTTGACCACGTAACCTATATCATTTTAAATTATAATTAAGTTTGGGTACAGAGCTATTTTCCTAACTGTAAAGAGAAATATGGAGGACTTTCCAGAAATAAGTATAAAAATTTTAACCACGCATTCAATGGAACGTTAAAACATTTAGATGTAGAATATTTTTTTCTACGCCTTTTGGTTTTTAAGGTAAATATAATTCCTTAATTTATGTTACCCGTCATTGCAACATAGGTCGAAAAGCTTGCTTAAGTTATTAGTAACGGAAAAGCACAAAAAATTGGAAATAGAGTAATTTAGTATTTTGGCTAGCAAAATACGTTAAAATAACGAATTGTTTCATGAAACATTTGCAGTACTTAGGTATTTATTTAATCCATAGACAGCGTTATTTGATTGGGTACAAAATGCCAGACAAAAATTTTCGAAAAAATTTATTAGTCAAAAGTTACTGGTTAAATTTTTGGCACTTATTTTAGGCACATCCTGTATAATTGGTTCATGATTATTATACTTAAATCGACTCCAAGTGATGTGATCACTGGACAAAGATTCATCAGTCATAAATGGTTTAAATATTTACAGTGTAACAAAAGCCGGGACGTGTAATAATTTATTGGTTAGTTCTCGGAACGGATGGGCCAAAAAGTAAAATATTTCAGTCAACACTAATTTATCGGAAAGTGATTGGTTTTCAAGTAGGTTTAACGTCGCCAAGACCGTCCTTCGGGGAAGGCTTTACGAAATTTAGCAATATTTTTTAACAAGTTCACTTAAACTGTCGGAGCCATGTGTTGAGCAGGTATAAAGAGAAAAATCGATATTTCAAATAACACGCGAAATGCATTCCAAAGAAAGTAGGAATTCCAAGAATAAGTTGTTAGATGTTGTGAGGAAAAGAAAGTAATAAGTAAAATAGCCGGTTTTTAGGCGGATTTTCCAAGCTATAAGAATAGATTAAATGAGATGGATTAATCCGTCCCGTATCGCTACACGGAGTCACTAGAGGAAGGCTAGGGTTATTTGTAAGTTTAGTCTCAAAATTATTTAGTTAAATGTAAAATCAGTCAATTAGATAACTATTAACATGGCATAGTTATGCCAAAGCGTCCCGATATTCAGGGCTCCCGCCAGTGAAATAAGAACAGAAACGTCTGGACCCAGGAAATGGGCGTGTCGAAGCGAAGTGTCGAATTCAAGAGAGATCTACGAAAAAAAGTCGGTTCTTTCTTGGGTTTCACATTGAGCAGTCTACTTAGTTTTAGAGTCTCGGATTAATTTAATAATGGATAAAGTCATTCCAAATTTTGCTATTGATCGCGCATTCTCTGAATCTCGGTACGCTGTCGCGTGTCAATAAATTAATAATGTTGTTCGAGCCTGTTGTGTCGTCAGTTTGTTTGTTTGTTTGTTTGTTTGTTTGTTTTGTTTTTATTGTTTACTAAAACCCTTCCTGGAAAGTTTTGGTGTTTTCTTGTTCTTCCAACTTAAGTGTCACCAACCACTGGATTACCTTGCATATGAGTGATATACGGTAAGTGTTTGGTATTCATTCTCTGAACGTACAACATTTCTAAGTTCCCACGTATTAATTAAAGTATAATGATAATTATAAACTCCCTTTCGAGAATTAAATAGTAAACTATTTTGAAATCCAGACTCGTTACGATACTGGTCATAACGGTAGATAGATAATTAAAGAAATAACCCCTCAGGTTACAGCAGATTATTTGGCTAAAAGAATTAACAGTTAAATCATAACATGATGATTTGAAATATCTGAGAACATTGCAGTCATCTCTTCTAAAATATTTCTAAACGTTCACCTTGTCAATCGCTTGTTACACAAGTCATATTTTTTCGAACGGAAGGAGCAATATAAGGTGGAACTTGTTTGAAGTTTGAAATTAGTGGTCATTGGGCAAATTTTCTTTAATGTGTTTTTATTTACCCTGAGCGAATCACATACTGAATAACATTTACTTGTTGAATAGTCCAAACGGAAAGCCGTTTGTATAGATTTGGAGAATATTTGGAATATTTGAATAACGATATGCCACTATAAGGCATTTGTTTAGGTTTGACAAATGTGTGTACTCCGGGAAATCTACACACACGATCGTATTCTTGAGCATTTCGTCGACCGTACTATACTGCATTTGTTTGCATTTGATACATATTTGGCAAGTGATCATATCTTTAGACATAAGCAATTTCCGCTAACGATTCGTCAGTAGAGTGAGATATGTGCAATAGCGTTTCATTGCAATAAATCCAGTTTATCGTTTATCGTAGATTAACATTAAATGGCTCTATTTTTGGCTGTCGTTGACAGTACACCTTAGCAACATAATAATATAAGATAAAATTGTTCCTAATTGCTGAATAAAATTGCAGCCCAGAAGTTGTTATAAATGTCTGATACAGTTTTGGATAAGTATATTTTTTGTGAAATAATGAAGCAAAACAATCATAAGAGAAGTTATGATCTGCACAATGTTTTCTAGCAAACGAATAATATGAATATTATTTGCTAGATTATGTACAGGGTGTTAGAAGTTTGACTGCTTTAATTTTAACAGACGATAGAATACATTAAATTAAACAAAAAAAACCTTATATGACAAGGGTCTTAAACTCAACCATTTCCGAGAAAACAAAATTATCAAAATCTCCAACTTGATATACAAAAGTTCGATTAATTAAGGAATATTGACACAACTGTGTGTATAGAATACCATAAAATACAATGTTTATCACTTTTTTGAATTTCTTTATGCTTAATTCTAAAAGAAATTAGCGTTTAAAATTCGATAAAATTCATATCGAGCAATGTGACAACGGCGCGGCGGTTAACACGAGGTAGTAAGGTGTCCAACAACCAACAATACGCAATTCAGTTGGTACCTGGAATTTGACAGTCGCAGACTTGCGAAAACGAAATTTTGCTACTGCCCATCAAATAAGGATAAATCCGCGTATTTTCCAGTGAGTGGGCGTAAATTGGATTCGAAGGTGTCGTGCGGGCATCGAAAATGGTGATGGACATTTTGAGCATATGTTGTAGTTTGTTTTGTACTTGTACGTTTAAAAATTACTGAATTTTGTTTTTTGGTAAGTACCTAAATTATTTTTAATATGTATGATTATTTGGATGACGAGAATCTTTGGGTACTTTAATTACATATGTATTTTTCAAATTCATAATTTGATTAAAAGTTCCTGTTTTAAGTGATTCAAAAAAATTCGAGCTAAAATTTGACCACATCACTATCTTCGTACTACAAAATAGTTACATTTTAATTTATTTATTTAAAAACTGAAACAATTGTCTTGAAATTTACTAAATGTTTCACAATAATATTTGTTTACATTTCTGTTATTCCGTAGAACAAGTCTGCCGCGTGCATACGTGGTGTGCATCAGCTATGTTAGGTTAAGTGCTGTTGTCACGTTGTGATGAAACTCTCCAATATTAATACTCGATGTATTTTGAAAACTGTTAATACCTTCTTACGGTCCTGTAATATACTACTTTTTTGTTTATTTATAATTACTCTATCTCATGCTGAAGTAATGGCAGTCATGGCACTTCTTACACCTTGTATATACGAGTAATAGTAAATTTGCTAGAAAGATTTGATCATGTATTTACAATTGTGTTATTTATGATATCAATCTTACAGTAAACGTTACTGTTAAAATATTGTAATAATAATGAAGTCGGCATTCTATATATACTCTAGGTTAGTTACGAGTATATGGTTGTGGCCGTGAATATGATAAATTTAACGTCGTCGTTCCTCTTCATAGTTGTCAGAAGCGAACGATTATTACTGATAAATAGATGTATAGAGTTCCTAATACAGGGACTCCAGATGTAGCAAAAGCTACACCTCTTCGGTAACGAAAACGAGACTAATAACGGAAAAAGTTTATAAATTGGCCTTTAATACGATAATACATAGGTGTAATCTACAGGGTGATTCATTAACAATGGGAAAATCGAAAGCTGAAGATACTACACGTAAAATGGTGACCATTGGCGTAAACATGCCTTATCCGATAGTTTCAGAAATACAGGGTGTTGAAAGTTAAAATTTTAAATCGTTTTTTTTGCGATTATTCTGAAAATATGTAGGTTAGGAACTTGAAAATTTGTGAAACTATATTTTTTTAAGCGACGAATAAGATGCGTGTTGTAATTTCAGCATTGCTCATAGAGGGCGCCACTTACGACCAATTTTACCGAAAATTTAGTTAATAACTTTTTACCCTGTATATTTAACATGAAACTTGATTCAAAACCTGAAAGAGCTATCATTTTTCCATTAATTATGTACTCTTGTTTCATTTCGGTATCTCGATCCGTTTTCGAGAAAAATCGATTTAACGAACACTATGTTTTGATAATATGAGAAATTAAAAGCGAAACAAACCAAGTGTTTCTTCGTGTTATTACAACAATTAACAATAAAACAAATAAAATACGTAATTATGATTTAAAGTAATTGTTCGAAGAATCCACCGTTGACACTGATACACTTTACACGTTTTCTGAGAGATCTTCGAGTTTGAAACAACATATTGGGATTGCGTCTGACTTCGTTGGCAGCGATTTGTATTCTTTGCCACAACTCTTCACACGAGCCAATAGATTCTTTGTAAACTATATCTTTCATTCGAGACCAAATAGAAAAATCAAGAGGATTGAAGTCCGGACTTCTGGATGGCCAAGCAAAAATGCTTACATGGCCAATCCAGCGATTTGGAAAAACTGCATCTAAATATGCACGCACTGGCCAAGAAAAATGCGGTGGAGCTCCGTCGTGCATGAACCACATGTCTCTTCTTAAATAAAGTGGAACTTCTTCAAGCCGTGGAAGCATTTTTACTTGGCCACCCAGAAGTCCGGACTTCAATCCTCTTCATTTTTCTATTTGGAAGAATCTATTGGTTCGTGTGAAGAGTTGTGGCAAAGAATACAAATCGCTGCCAACGAAGTCAAACGCAATCCCAATATGTTGTTTCAAACTCGAAGATCTCTCAGAAAACGTTGTGTAAAGTGTGTAAATGTCAACGGTGGATTCTTCGAACACTGACTTTAAATCATTATTACGAATTTCATTTGTTTTATTGTTAATTGTTGTAATAACACGAAGAAACACTTGGTTTGTTTCGCTTTTAATTTCTCGTATTATCAAAACATAGTGTTCGTTAAATCGATTTTTCTCGAAAACGGATCGAGATACCGAAATGAAACAAGAATACACAATTAATGGAAAAATGATTGCTCTTTCAGGTTTTGAATCAAGTTTCATGTTAGACATACAGGGTAAAAAGTTATTAACTAAATTTTCGGTAAAATTGGTCGTAAGTGGCGCCCTCTATGAGCAATGCTGAAATTACAACACGCATCTTATTCGTCGCCTAAAAAAATATAGTTTCACAAATTTTCAAGTTCCTAACCTACATAGTTTCAGAATAATCGCAAAAAAACGGTTTAAAATTTTTCCTTTCAACACCTTGTATTTCCGAAACTATCAACTTTCGGATAAGGCATATTTGCGCCAATGGTCACCATTTTACGTGTAGTATCTTCAGCTTTCGATTTTCCCATTATTAATGAATTATTGTATACGAGTATTCTGCGAACAGCTTTGAAAATTATACATATATCTAATCATTGATCGACTACACATTCGATCGCAAATAGTCTTGCTTTGTTGATTGTAACTCAAGTATAATGTCTGTTTTGTAATTTAGCTGGATGTGAGTACCATGATAGAACGGTGAGAACAAATCAACAATACCTTTGTAGGTACATAAGCACCGTTCTTTTATCAGTTGACCGGTTTATATATTTTTTTTGTTTTACCTACCCTACCTAATGTTGGTAGAAGCTTTGCTATATCTCCATTTTATGTATTTTTATATAAAATAAATATGATCCCTTTTTTATATTAAACATATACACTATCATGTAACGACTCTTGTTTTCACTATACTATTTTTTACACTTTATTACTTTCTGTATTAGGCGTTCCTAAGGCATTCAATGCTCTTTACCTCCATATGTTGAGTACCGTTGAAGCTAAGCGTTGGTGCTTCTTTTCCACAGGTGGGACCGCTGAAGAGGGTGTCAGTGCAGTCGCAGACGAATCGGTTCCAGCCTTCCGTGCAGATGCCACCATTGAGACAGGGCTGTGAAGGACATTGTTGGGGCTGAGTGTGACACAACGTGCGGATGGATCCTGAAACGAAAACGATAGAAGATTAGACACTTTATTAAATAATATAGTCACCTGATAATTATATTAGGATAATAAATAATTAAATATTGAATAGATGCATTTATCAGATGGTATCAACTGATCCGTCAATTCCAATGTAATCAGAAATCAGTACTGGGAAAATAGGAGTCTATACAATGTAAGTATGTACAACAAAAATGCTTAGCCAAATTTTAAATGTAAATCTACATCACAAATTAAGTTATTCATTTTTATCCATTAGCTAACAAATTTTTGAGTGAACATTACTCCACGAATAGTGCCATTTCCACATAATTGGACTCATTTTAACAAAGAAATTCTTTACGGTGTAAATGACATGTTTAGACTGTAAATTTATTTAAGAATACTCTTTTTCAAATTTCTATTTTTCCCGTGAAGCTTTTATGTCTTACTAGGTAGTTCTTGCTTAGAATACATGCATCTAGGATATGGGGCGTCAATCCATGAGCCTTAACTTTCTGCCGTGTGGTAAATAAGCTCCTGAGTCGATGTGGAGCATTTTTTCTCATATCACGAGCGTTCAAATAAAAACATGGTCAAGTTGGTTCTGAAAATTTGGACGTAGGGCGTAGCGTATAGCAAATGAACTTAAACATCATCTGTCAAAGCGCTATATCACCGCTATCAATTTGAATATTTTCGTTTTAAAAAGCGTTTAAAATGGTGTTTTCTCAAGAACAAAAAGTGTTTATCATAGAGTCCTACTTTAGAAATGGACGCAAGATCGATGGAATATGGAAGTATTCTATTGAGAAATGTTTCATAGAATTTCAAAATCAATTTTCCGGCGTTGTTGAGTACAAAATTTTTCAAAGTGCAGTTCAGCGTTGTGTTAATGTTTTTCGTGAAACGGGCAGTGTAACAAGAAAAGAAGGAAGCGGCCGACCTAAAAAGCGGACTGAAGAATTAAAAGAAACTGTCCAACAAATAATGGAAAATGCGCCAAGAACTTCTGTACGTGTTTTATCACAAATGGTGGGAGTATCAGTCGGTACCTGCCACACAGTGTTAAAAAAAGATTTGCGTTTGTTCTCCTATCGTTTAACTTGTCAGCAAGAACTTCATGAAGTTGATTTTCCGCGACGGGCTGTATTTTGTGAATGGTTTTTAAACAACTACGGTGAACTTCATAATATCACCTTTTTTTCTGATGAGGCCTGGTTTCATTTAAGTGGTTACGTAAACTCACAGAATATGAGAATGTGGTCTTCTGAAAAACCAGATAACTTTTTTGTCGAGGGCCCTCTACACGCTCAAAAAATTGGAGTTTGGTGTGCTCTCAATCGAAGGAGGATTTATGGACCTATTTTTTTTAATGGTACTCTTACTGCGCAAAGGTATAGAGAAGAAATTATCGCTCCTTTTGTTAACCAGCTGGAAGAAAACGAAATTACAAACTTTTACTTTTAACAAGATGGCGCAAGGGCACATACGGCAGGCGAGACGATGAATATGTTGAGGGAAGTTTTCCAAAATCGACTAATAAGTCTCAATGCTGAACATGAATTTCCACCGAGGTCATGTGATATTACGCCGTGTGATTTCTTTTTGTGGCCTTACCTTAAAAACACTATTTTTGAACTGCCTATTCCTGATTTAAACCATCTGCAGGCTCGACTTATAGACAAGATTCGTGAAATTAACAATACCCCGAGCATCTTAGAAAATGCCTTTAATTCTTTGAGGAACAGGTGTGAAAAGTGCTTGGAACAAGGAGGGGGACACTTTCAGCAGCTGCTTTAATTTATTGTTATAACAAGGAGGGGGACACTTTCCGCAGCTCCTTTAATTGTTTGTTATTGTTATCACAATTATTCTTTAAAATAAAGTTGTATAGTCATTAACGTTATTGAAACTGACAGCTGCTTCCTACGTCCAATGTGTCAGAGCCAACTTCGACCACGTTTTTATTTGAACGCTCGTTATATGGCAGAACGGCAATTTTCGAGATAGAGGGGTGTGGAAATCTGGGAAAAAAAGTGGACCCTAATCGTCTGGAAGCAACGGTAAGTCAAAGCATCCATTTTTCATAAACCGGGAAAAAACTTTATTGTGATTTCGGAGGAGAGTGGTGTTGAAGAAAACCGGAAAAAAGTGGATTCTGACCGGATCTACTCAAGTGCGATTTTCTTGTTACAACATGCACTTATATGGAAAAATAGTGGCAGACATCGCAGACTAGCAATATGACGGTAATTTGAAATCCAGCGTGGGAGAATTTCTCATAAAACTCGAAAACTGCTGTAAAACAGTATAAAATAAGTAAAAACTAAAAAAAATTCTGCCGCTTGCCAAATAAGTTCCATAACGACCGCACAAACGTTACATACTGCTGGCAGACATAACTTTGAAGAATCAGTCTTATTTGAACAAATAAATTATTTTATAGAGCTCACCATGGCCAAAATTATAACAACAAATATTCTAGTAGCAGCAGCTGACAATTATAAACCACTAAAGACACCGTTCAAACATACTTCTTATGTAAACTTTTTTTTNTCGACTTATAGACAAGATTCGTGAAATTAACAATACCCCGAGCATCTTAGAAAATGTCTTTAATTCTTTGAGGAACAGTTGTGAAAAGTGCTTGGAACAAGGAGGGGGACACTTTCAGCAGCTGCTTTAATTTATTGTTATAACAAGGAGGGGGACACTTTCCGCAGCTCCTTTAATTGTTTGTTATTGTTATCACAATTATTCTTTAAAATAAAGTTGTATAGTCATTAACGTTATTGAAACTGACAGCTGCTTCCTACGTCCAATGTGTCAGAGCCAACTTCGACCACGTTTTTATTTGAACGCTCGTTATATGGCAGAACGGCAATTTTCGAGATAGAGGGGTGTGGAAATCTGGGAAAAAAAGTGGACCCTAATCGTCTGGAAGCAACGGTAAGTCAAAGCATCCATTTTTCATAAACCGGGAAAAAACTTTATTGTGATTTCGGAGGAGAGTGGTGTTGAAGAAAACCGGAAAAAAGTGGATTCTGACCGGATCTACTCAAGTGCGATTTTCTTGTTACAACATGCACTTATATGGAAAAATAGTGGCAGACATCGCAGACTAGCAATATGACGGTAATTTGAAATCCAGCGTGGGAGAATTTCTCATAAAACTCGAAAACTGCTGTAAAACAGTATAAAATAAGTAAAAACTAAAAAAAATTCTGCCGCTTGCCAAATAAGTTCCATAACGACCGCACAAACGTTACATACTGCTGGCAGACATAACTTTGAAGAATCAGTCTTATTTGAACAAATAAATTATTTTATAGAGCTCACCATGGCCAAAATTATAACAACAAATATTCTAGTAGCAGCAGCTGACAATTATAAACCACTAAAGACACCGTTCAAACATAATTCTTATGTAAACTTTTTTTTTTTGTAATCTAATCAACCTTGGACTTTTGGTCGTGTCCGAGATTTCCATGATGATCATCTTTAAGTGAATCACCTGCATACATAGAGTGTCCCTAAATTATATTTTATTATCGCATTTTACTACTACTACAAATGAAACAAAAATAAGACATGGTGTTGAAAGGCCAACGGTGATCACGTTCTTTTAATTTTAGCACATCAAAGTTGTTTTTCCAGATCGGTAAGTAAGGTACCTGAGACAAATAAATCCTACATTATGAAATTACCGCTCGCTAAACGACTCCTTGTTGTTGTAATGCATATAAAATCATTTAACCATAAATCTACCGAAGTCTAGTAGTCGTAACTATAACTATAATCACTGAAAACATCCATCAGTTTTAATAAATAACCGATGCAAAAAAGTAAATTTCTTTTATTTATATTTTTTATATTATATTTTTGATTTATTGTAATGAACATTCCTCTATGTAGTATAGTGGCCTAGAATATTTTTATTTTCTTTTTAATCCATGAATTTTTAAATAAAATATATTCTATTTCGTAATCAGGTTCACTTTTCCTTTTCTACCATGGTACCATTATGATTTTGTTTTTCCTGGGAATCTTTTACAAACTAAATTAATATATTTCTCTTTCAACATAAAATATATGAAAGATTTTTAAGCCTTTGCTAATAATATTAGTTTGCATTCAGCTTTACTCCAATGAAGTTTTTTGAAATTTTTCGACTGGTAACATTATTCAGATTTAAAGTACAGTAGTCTTTTCGTATTATGCTGTGGTCTATATGTCGCCATCAGTTAAAGATTTGTAACGGTTTCATACTTGTAACTGGTGACGACCAAATACACAAGCCAGGCGGCCATGAAAGTCTTAAAACCACTATTGAATCAGATTTAGTTTTTGCATAGTTTATAGTTTCCTACTTGAGTTTTATTGGTTTATTGAGAATATATAAGTTTGTGTGCTTAATGTTGTTATAAATATTTGTTGGACTAGATATTATTAAAACCCAGGGTTCTGATAAGAGCACATTGCATGTATACTAAAGACAACAAAAAAAACTAGGGCTTTCCATGCTCTCAAATATTTAAATTAGTGTTTACAGTACTTTAATAAACAAATGAATAGTGATTAAAATTAGCATAGACCGTACTTGCCTCGCCGCTGTTACCAACTTTGAGAGTTGTATTCAAAATTCAACTACGAGGGAAATCCACAAACTAAGAGTACTGAGTACTCTAATGCTATGTGGTTTTTGTTTTCTACACTGTTGGCAATACTTCATTCAAGGCCCAGGTGTTGGAAGCAGAACGCGCGCTCATTTGTCTCTGGCAGTTGAGAACTGTTGTTGTAGTGGCGTGTTGAAATGAGTGTCGTTATTACGAATCCCGCCAGCTGCGAGGTGATGAGCGTAATCCGGTTTCTTTTTGAAGAGAAAGGCCCCGTTCCAGATTTTTAATAAAACTGTTTATGGGGATGGTGTACTGAATCGTACTAATGTGTACAAGTGGTATCGTGATGTTCATGATGAACAAAGGAGAAAAATCATCGCAACTCTGTTTTGGGAT